GCTTCAATATCCACCCATAAACAGCCAATGCCTACCTTGTGATAAACTCAGTCATACAAAAACTACCATAATTTTACCCATCTGTATAAATAAAAATGTAATGTTCGTTTGTGGGATTAACATAATTCAAAAACCACTGGGTGAATTGACCCCAAATTTAGACACAATACACCTATCAGGCCAACAAGTGACGACCACCCATAAAAACACTGAAAAACACAGTGGAAGAGGCTTAAAAAGCCAAAAAAATAATTAAAAAAATACATTACAATGTATGCACAAATCCACATATATACATGACGCTCCATGCAGTCATGCCGGCCACATGACCTTGGAGGTGTCTATGGACAACGCCGGCTCTTCAGCTTAGAAATGGAGGTGAGCACCACACCCCAGAGTCAGATATGACTGGACTTAATGTCAGGGGACAACCGTTACCTTTTACACATATACACAAATATATACACACACATATATACATACACAAAACACATATACACAGACTGAGCCACAGCAACGTGTGGCAGGGGACTGCTAGTATCTATATAAATAAAAATGTAATGTTCGTTTGTGGGAATAACATAACTCAAAAACTACTGGATGAATTGAGACCAAATTTGGACACAATACACCTATCAGGCCAACAAGTGACCATCACTCATAAAAACACTGATAAACACAGCAGAAAAGACTTAAACAGCCAAGAAACAAACAAACAAAAAGCATTACAACACAAAACCACATATATACACAAACATACATATATACATAAACATACACACACACACACAAACAAAACACTTATACACAGAATGGGCCACAGCAACGCATGGCAGGGGACGGCTTGTGTTCAATAAGAAACACCAGCTAATTGGGATTATTCCCAAGTAAATGGCCACAGTAGGTAATCTGCATGAAAGTAATAATAACTGCAACCATGATGTGTATTGTGTCACAGTTTACACTGGAGGAGTCAAACAGAAAGAGAAACTGGAACCCCTTCCCACACAGCTGAATAAAATCCCACATTATCCACTTTGAAGTGGAATATATGACAGTGTGGACTCAGATAAGCAGATATTGTGGGATTTTCTGCCTTGATATTCTGGGTTATATGGCTGTGTGGAAGGGCCCTGAGTTGCTGTGAGTTTCCAGGCTGTATGGCCATGTCCCAGAAGCATTATTTCCTGACGTTTCACCTGCATCTATGGCAGGCATCCTCGAACAGACAAGAGTTCTTTCTCCCACCCTGAACATTCCAGATATATAACCCCCACTTGCCTAGTTTCCAAACTTTTGCAGATGCTTGCCATAGATGCAGGCAAAATGTCAGGAAAGAATGCTTCTGGAACATGGCCACACAGTCTGGAAAACTCACAGCAACCCAGTGATTCCAGCCATGAAAGCCTTCGACAACACGGAAAGAGAAGCCTCAAAGGATCACAGGCAAAATTTGTCAACAGATGAGAAGCAAAGGTGACAGAGATAGAGCCAGGTCCTTGTTCAGCAACTTGTATGCAAGGACAAGAACTATTATAATAAATGTGGAGAAACAGAAGTTGACAGCAAATCTTACAGATACCTCTTCTGTAAGATTTGAGAAATCAAAAGGAAATTTAAGACAAGAGCAGAAATGCTGCTCTATGACCAACAGATAAACACATTATAGGAGAAATAAAGAGATGGAAACAATACTTGGAAGAAGTATGTAATAGAGATGAAAGGGTGACAGATTAATTCAAGGAAGAACCACAACTGTTGGTTATGTTATGCGATGGCATGACTGACTAAAAAAGACAACAATGCTTAATAAGTCAAACATTAATTCTACAGTGTGGATATACCCTTGGAGGTCTCTCTTTCATTCATGAGGTCGGCCTAATTCAATTTGACAGCAGTAAACAATGGAGAATCCTCATTGTGGCATGAGTACAGGGAACCCTGGGAATTATAGTTTGATTAGGCACTGGCAGGCTTTGGCAGAGAAGGCAAAAGATGTTGCAAAACTGCAATCTCTGGGATTCCATTGCACTGAAGCAGAGTTTAAATTTTGTCTCAATCATGGAAACCCACCATGTGATCTTGAGGAAGTCACATTCTCTCAGCTTCAGAAGACAGCAAAGGCAAACCTACTATATAGGTTCCCCTTAAGGTCTCTATTAATCTGTTTGAGTGTTTGAGGATCGGGACATCCGAAGGGATACCAAGGTGCTTGTTTATTAAGCTATTGTACTCCCAACCCTGCTATATACCTGCGAAACATGGACTGTCTACAGATGTCACACTCAACTCCTGGAATGATTCCATCAGCATTGCCTCTGAAAAATCCTGCAAATCTCTTGGGAAGACAGACAAACAAATGTCAGTGTGCTGGAAGAAGCAAAGACGCCCTTTGCCATCAACTCCACTGGACTGGCCATGTTGTCCAAATGCTTCTTCACCATCTCCCAAAGCAGTTACTATTCTCTATGGAATATACACTGAGAATTGGGAAGCCCTGGCCCCTGTGCACTCTAAGTGGAGGTCAGCTGTGACCAGCAGTGCTGTAGAATTTGAAGAGGCAGGAATGGAGGGTGAAAGAGAAAAACATGCCAAGAGGAAGGCGCATTGAGCCAACCCTCACTGGGCCCACCTTCCACCTAATTCAAAGAGGCAGGAATGGAGGGTGAAAGAGAAAAACATGCCAAGAGGAAGGCACGTCAGGCCAACCCTGACTGGGCCCACCTTCCACCTGGAAACCAATGTCCTCACTGCGGGAGAACATGCAGGTCAAGAATAGGGTTCCACAGACACCTACGGACCCACTGCCAAGACACTACACTTGGAGGATCATCATCCTTGGGTTACGAGGGATTGCCTAAGTAAGTACTATTAATCTGAAATGACTTGAAGGCACACAACAACAAAGGTCTCCTTTAACTGTATGGTCATGATGGCCACATGTGTTCCAACCCTGCTTTCACCTAATGCTTGCAATGTTAGGAACTATGGGGATTGAAGTCCAAAAAACCTGGAGGGGCCAAGTTCACCCATGTCTGGTGTAGATGCTCCCAAGGACCACCTTCAAAGGGACAGACTCAAGGAAGGAGTCTGCAGATGTAACGTTGCCTTCAAGGTGGGTCTCTCAGAGAAGAAACCCCCAAGGCCACCTGGTCCAACCCCATTCCAGCCTGCAGGAAGACACAATCAAAGCCCATACAAGGGAACACCTTCAGTTAGTGAACTGGAGGAAGTCCAAAACACTTGGAGGGCCCAAGTTTGCCCATGCCTGGTGCAGATGCTCCCAAGGACCACCTTCAAAGGGACAGACACAAGGAAGCTGGGGCTGCTGATGTCAGGGTGCCTTGGAGGTTGGTCTTTCATGGAAGAAGGTCCAACCCCATTCCACCCTGCAGTAAGACACCATCAAAGCCCATGCAAAGCAACATCTCCAGTTAGTGAACTGAAGGAGTTGAAGTCCAAAGCTCCTGGAGAATCCAAGTTTGCCCCTGCCTGGTGTAGATGCTCCCAAGGACCACCTTCAAGGGATAGACTCAAGGAAGGAGTCTGCTGATGTCAGGTTGCCTTGGAGGTAGATCTCTCAGAGAAGAAACCCCCAAGGCCACTTGGTCCAATCCCATTCCGCCCTACAGGAAGACACAATTGAAGCCCATACAAGGGAACACCTCCAGTTAGTGAACTGTAGGAGTTGAAGTCCAAAACACCTGGAGGCCCTAAGTTTACCCATGCCTGGTGTAGATGCTCCCAAGGACCACCTTCAAGGGATAGACTCAAGAAAGGAGTCTGCTGATGTCAGGTTGCTTTGGAGGTAGATCTCTTAGAAAATAAACCCCCAAGGCCACCCATTCTGACACCATTCCACCCTGCAGGAAGACACAATTGAACTCCATGCAAGAGAACACCAGTTAGTGAATTGTAGGAATAGAATCATAGAATCCTAGAGTTGGAAGAGACCTCATGGGCCATCCAGTCCAACCCCCTGCCAAGAAGCAGGAATATTGCATTCAAAGCACCCCTGACAGATGGCCATCTAGCCTCTGTTTAAAAACCTCCAAAGAAGGAGCCTCCACCACACTCTGGGGCAGAGAGTTCCACTGCTGAACGGCTCTCACAGTCAGGAAGTTCTTCCTCATGTTCAGATGGAATCTCAGATGAAAGTCCAAAACACCTGGAGGGCCCAAGTTTGCCCATGCCTGTTGTAGATGCTCCCAAGGACCACCTTCAAGGGACAGACACAAGGAAGGAGTCTGCAGATGTAAGGTTGCCTTGGAGGTTGGGCTCTCAGAGAAGAAACCCCCAAGGCCACCCAGTCTGATCCCATTCCACCCTGCAGGAAGACACAATCAAAGCCCATACAAGGGAACACCTTCAGTTAGTGAATTGTAGAAGTTGAAGTCCAAAATACCTGGAGGGCCTAAGTTTGCCCGTGCCTGTTTAGATGCCCCCAAGGACCACCTTCAAGGGACAGACTCAAGGAAGGAGTCTGCAGATGTAAGGTTGCCTTGGAGGTGGGTCTCTCAAAAAACCCCAAGGCCACCTGGTCCGACCCCCTTCCATCATGCAAGAAGACACAAAGAAAGCCTTGTCCAAGACTTTCATGGCCAGAATCACTGGGTTGTTGTAGGTTTTTCAGGCTGTATGACGATGTTCTAGAACAGTGGTTCTCAACCTGTGGGTCCCCAGGTGTTTTGGTCTACAATTCCCAGAAATCCCAGCCAGCGTTGAAGGCCAAAACTTCTGGGGACCCACGGGTTGAGAACCACTGTTCTAGAAGCATTCTCTCCTGACGTTTCACCTGCACCGCCATCCTCAGAGGTTGTGAGGTCTGTTGGAAACTAGGCAACTGGGGTTTATGTATCTGTGGAATAATGTCCAGGATGGGAGAAAGAACTCTTGTCTAGAACATGGTCATAAAGCCGCAAAACCTGCAGCAACACAATGGGAACCCATGCCAGGGGCCACCTCCAGTGGGGCAGGGGTCCCTTGCTTCTCCTCCTCACCTGCTTGACCTGGAGCTCGACCACTTTCTGGAGGACGCGGGCGGCGAGGAGGGCCACGCTGGCGATGAGGAGGGTCATGGCCAGGACCCCCGCCGTGCCCAGGCAGAGCTTCCTCATGGCTGCGGTTGAGGGGTCTCCAAGGCAGGCAGGCAAGCAGAAAGAAAGAAGCCCAGACCAGGGCCGCTCCGCCTTTGCTTCTCCTTCCTGGCAAGCCTCCTTCTCCCAGGGAAGGAGGGCAGGAGGAGAACAGAAGCCCGGCCCCTCGGCTTGCCTTTGAGGGAGGGAGGAAGGAAGGAAAGGGGAGGAAAACGGGACGCCGCTCACTTTCGCTTTCCAAAGGAGAGGAAGGAAGGAAGGGAAAGCAAGGCAGGCTTGGCGCAAGGGCCGGCGGGTGGCTTGCTCTGCCTGCCTGGCTGCCTCCTTGGCTCCCGGATGAGCTCAGCCGTCAGCTGGTCGCCTCCCTCCTCCGCCGCCTCTCCAGCGCCCCCGCTCGCCCTTCACGGCGGGATTAACGCACTTCCAGCCCGCTTTGAGCTGCCCTGCTTTGACAAGGCCTTTAACCCTTCTCTGCCAAGGAGCCCAAAGGTTTCAGCCTATGAAAGAGCACCTACAAGGTGGGATGGACGCAGAGCGACCTTGCTTGAAATGCAAGGGAATCACAGACAGCATCTAGAGCAGTGGTTCTCAACCTGGGGGTCCACAGATGTTTTGGTCTTCAACTCCTAGAAATCTGAACAGCTGGTAAACTGGCTGGGATTTCTGGGGACCCACAGGTTGAGAAGGAAGGAAGACTCCAGCAAGACATGGAGCGAGAGTTGCCAGATGTTCAAGCTGGGTTTAGAAAAGGCAGAGGAACGAGAGACCAGATTGCCAATATCCGGCTGGATAATGGAGAAAGGCAGGGAGTTTCAGAAAAACATCTACTTCTGCTTCATTGACTATTCTAAAGCCTTTGACTGTGTGGATAATAAATTGTGGCAAGTTCTTGGTGGGATGGGCATACCAAGCCACCTTGTCTCTCTCCTGAGGAATCTGTACAAGGACCAAGTAGCAACAGTCAGAACTGACCACGGAACAACAGACTGGTTCAAGATTGGGAAAGGCGTACGGCAAGGCTGCATTCTCACCCAACCTTTTTAACTTGTATGCAGAACACATCATGCGATGTGCTGGGCTTGATGAATGCAAAGCTGGGGTGAAAATTGCTGGAAGAAACATTAACAACCTCAGATATGCAGATGACACCACTCTGATGGCCGAAAGCAAGGAGGAGCTGAGGAGCCTTCTAATCAAGGTGAAAGAAGAAAGCGCAAAAGCTGGGTTGCAGCTAAATGTCAAAAAAACCAAGATTATGGCAACAAGAATGATTGACAACTGGGAAATAGAGGGAGAAAATGTGGAGGCGTGACAGACTTTGTATTTCTAGGTGCAAAGATTACTGCAGATGCAGACTGTAGCCAGGAAATCAGAAGACGCTTCCTTCTTGGGAGGAGAGCAATGTCCAATCTCGGTAAAATAGTAAAGAGTGGCAACAAAGATCCGCCTAGTCAAAGCCATGGTATTCCCTGTAGTAACCTACGGATGTGAGAGCTGGACCTTAGGGAAGGCTGAGCGAAGGAAGAGAGATGCTTTTGAGCTGTGGTGTTGGAGGAAAGTTCTGAGAGTGCCTTGGACTGCGAGAAGATCCAACCAGTCCATCCTCCAGGAAATAAAGCCCGACTGCTCACTGGAGGGAAGGATAGTAGAGGCAAAGATGAAGTACTTTGGCCACAACATGAGAAGAAAGGAAAGCTTAGAGAAGACAATGATTCTGGGGAAAATGGAAGGAAAAAGGAAGAGGGGCCCAAGGGCAAGATGGATGGATGGCATCCTTGAAGTGACTGGACTGACCTTGAAGGAGCTGGGGGTGGTGACGGCCGACAAGGAGCTCTGGCATGGGCTGGTCCGTGAGGTCACGAAGAGTCGGAGACAACTGAACGAATGAACAACACAGGTTGAGAACCACTGATCTAGAGGGTATCAGGAATGGGCGAACTTCGACCCTCCAGGTGTTTTGGACTTCAGCTCCCACAATTTCTGACCTCAAGCTCCTTCCTTTGCTTCCTCAGCCACTTAAGCTGGGGTCTATTTTCCCCAAACTCCACCAGTGTTCACATTTGGGCATACTGAGTAATTCGTGCCAAATTTGGTCCAGATCCATCATTGTTTGAGTCCACAGTGCTACCTGGAAGTAGGTGATCTACAACTCCAAAAACTCAAGGTCAATGCTCACCAAACCCTTCCAATGTTTTCTATTGGTCATGGGAGATCTGTGTGCCAAGTTTGGTGCCATTCCATCATTGGTGGAGTTCAGAATGTGCTTCGATTGTAGGTGAACTATAAACCCCAGCAACTACAACTCCCAAATCTCAAGGTCTATTTTCCCCAAACTCCACCAATGTTCATATCTGGGCATATTGAACCATCAAGGACTTTAAGATCGTCTGGGGAGGCCCTTCTCTCGGTCTCGCCTTCGTTACAAGCACGTCTGGAAGGGACGAGAGACAGGGCCTTCTCAGTGGTGTCCCCTCAACTATGGAACACCCTTCCTAAGGAGATTAGATCAGCTCCCTCCCTCTTAATGTTTTGGAGGCAAGTTAAAACATGGTTGTTCGAGCAAGCATTTACAAATGCAGAGTAGCCAATATATAGGAAATCGAATGACTTGACGATAGAACTGGACAATGCTTGATAATATTGAGATGCTAATGATGTTTTTTATTGCTCTTGTGTTTTTATGCTGTTTTTAATGTTTTATTCTGTATTATGATTTTATGTGTACTGATTTGTTGGAAACCGCCTTGAGTCGCCGATTGGCTGAGAAAGGTGGTATACAAATACAGTAAATAAATAAATAAATAAATAATATTGAGTGTTCGTGCCAAGTGTGGTCCAGATCCATCATTGTTTGAGTCCACAGTGCTCTCTGGATGTAGGTGAACTACAACTCCAAAACTCAAGGTCAATGCCCACCATACCCTTCCATTATTTTCTGTTGGTCATGGGAGTCCTGTGTGCCAAGTTTGGTGTGATTCCATCGTTGGTGGAGTTCAGAATGCGCTTCGGTTGTAGGTGAACTATAAATCCCAGCAACTACAACTCCCAAATGACAAAATCCCTCCCTAGCCCCACCAGTATTGAAATTGGAGTGATTTGCTCCACATTTGGTCCAGTTAATGAAAATACATCCTGCATATCAGATATTTACATTACGATTCCTAACAGTAGCAAAATGAAGTGGCAACAAAAATAATGTTATGGTGGGGGTCATCACACCCTGAGGAACTGCATCAAGGGGTCACGGTATTAGGAAGGTTGAGAAACACTGCTCTAATGGGATTACATACCTCCGACGTTTCAAGATGGAAGGTATAATGAAAGGAAATAGATCCATATATGTTTGAAATAGTGGGATTTTTATTTTGTGAAGTTTGAATTAAAACTGTTGGGCATTGAATTGTTGCCTCTGTAAACCACCTTAAGTCACCTGTAGGCTGAGAAGGGCGGTATATACAAATATAGTAAATAAATAAATAATAAGCATGGCCAAGCTGCATCAGAGTGAGGTCAAGATGGCAGAAGGTATGAATGAAGGAAAACACCCAAGCTAGGGGAGACTGCAGCAGTTTGCTTTTGCCTGAACCTACTCCGAAGTGGAAATCTCACCACTTCTCTCCTCTTCCTCCACTGAGTTAATGCTTTGTGGGAATTGGTGGAAGCCGAGAACAAAGTGGTGACAAGTGGGAGAAAGAGATAGAAACTGGGACGTTTTTTAAGCATCTGAGAAAATGGAGGTGGCAAAGGATTAATCTGAACTGTCCCTGCCAAATAACAAGAGTTAGAAGGTATGTGACTGATGTCAAGAGTAGTCCTACAAAAAGTATAAATGCCTACACAACGAGGCACTCTACTAGTTAATACACTCTTTCATGTATCTGGGTCACTCCCACAAATCAAAGTTCTCCAAATAGCATTTGTTTTTGCTGCGGATGACTTACAAATGCAGAATGAGATCAAATTGGCAGTAAAGAATTTAGGCTGAGGGGGGAGAAAGATCAGGAGGCAACAGAGCATGTTTATGCTGTAGTCTTTGTTGCCAACATTTGGAAATGAGTCCCTTAGCTACCAATGGAACTAATGTCTCAGCAGATAGCCATGAGCCAGGGTCGACGAACCAGTTCAAACAACCAAACTGGCATGGAGTCAGGGTATTCTTTTACATTTCATCAACATGCTCATGAGATTGCCTCACTTGTGTATCCAGTTTCCAACTAGTCCACACCAATAACTGTGCCAATGCAAAGTTAACAGAAGTAAATTAGCAGTGATGCAGAAGTGTGTGTCTAAGAATGAGCTGAGTATTGGAAGCAATAAGGCAACTCAAACTTGGAACGCTATCAGTGAGGCCACTTAAAAACAAAGCAGGAGGAACAGAGGCAGTAGATACAGATGGGTAACATTTGCTGTGGTCTGTATCAAAAACTCCAAGAAAAGAGGGGGAAAGTATCTTTCAGTGGGAATACAAATCTGTATTTTCCACCAGAAGTTTACAAAAGGAACAGGAAGAATAGTGTATGGCTATCAAAAAGGAAAATAATAATAATAATAATAATAATAATAATAATAATAATACAATGTCAGCCCTCCATTGGAGTAATGGGGACAGAACCCCTGTGAAAGTAAAAAACCACAAATAAATTGCTATTTTTGTCTCTTGATAACACCAGTCTAGGAGTTTCTAGGTGTTCCAGCATAATTATCTGGAAACCGAGCATAAAATCACATTGAAGGGCTTAGGGAATACATTCTAAATTAAATCCGCAAATAATAAAATCCACAAAAGTCAAAACTGCAACTGCAGAGAGGTGACTATACCACTAAAATTCCTGATAAATTCCAAGGTTTCTGGCCTGTCTGAAAGAGCCCATTTCCAATAATACCAATGTGTTTTTTTTAATCGTGTCCGAAGCGACTTGAGAACATACTGCAAGTTGCTTCTGGTGTGAGAGAATTGGCTGTCTACAGAGACGTTGCCTAGGAGACGCTACCATGTCAGGCTACACAGAGAAGCCATTGAAATCCACAAGCATGTGGACAATTTCAACAGAAAGGAGGAAACCATGAAAATGAACAAAATCTGGCTACCAGTATTAAAAAAACTCTAAAATTACAACAGCACAACAACAGAGAGGAAACAAACAAGACATCTAATCACCTCTCAACAAAAGTTTGCTCTAGGCACTGTCAAGCCATTGTATGCTAATCAAGGTGGTCAGTTGAAACATTCACACCTAGCTCCAGCAGACAAGAGTCCTTTGTCTCACCCTGGTCATTCCACAGATATATAAACCCTTTCCTAGTTCCAACAGACCTCACTACCTCTGAGGATGCTTGCCATAGATGCAGGCAAAAC